GCGGGGGAATCGGGCGGGGTGGCGGTGGCAGAGCGGGGGGGGGGGGGGGGGTTGTATGTGCGAGACGGTCTAACGGCTGCAGTGAACTGCCCCCCTCAATGCACTTGGCAAGTCGGGGGGGGGAGGGTCCTGAGCGGGGGCAGAGTCGTCGTATTTGTTAATGACCAACTGCAGCAGCCCCCTACCTGGGGTGTGCCCATCTCTCTTGTTTAACACCCCCGCCCCCATGCCAGGTTTCCAGGGGCAGAGCTGGGTCGCTGGGCCCTGCCTGCCACCAGCTCGGCCTGGCGGGGAGGGGCTCCAACGGCGGGGAGATGCTCCAACCACACCCATGTTGTGGGACTTGGAGCATTGGGCCAGGGCTAGGGAGCAGATCAGCGTAGCCTCCTCAGCTGATTGGGCAGCCCAGGAGGGACCTGCCCCTGGCATGAGGTGCTGGGTGCCCCTCGGGGCTCCCTGTAAGCTGAGCACAGGGGCAACCACCCAGGAGCGAGTCAGGTTTAGCAGCGCGCCCATAGCCGGTGGTGTGTTTCTTGTGGTGGTGCACATCTGCATGTCTTGGTGCATGTAACAAAATTTATTCTACACATGGATGGAAAAATTAGGGGGAACACTGGCCTGGTGTCCTGCCCTCCTTCATGCAGGGCTCTGTGCGTGTGGCCCCTGCTTCTCCCATGTTGCGTCCGCATTCCCATCCCAGCCTCCCCCATCCTCTCTGCACCCTGTTCTCATCTTTCCCGAAACTCACCCCCCGAGGCCTGTGTAGTCCTCACTTCTCAGGGGCTGGGGCCACTCCGCCTATCGCCTGGCTACCTGGGGTTGCGTCTCTGGGGGGGCTGGGCTGGGAGGAGACTGGGTCAGCCCTGTGGTTTTACGATCTCCTGCAAACACGCTCATGAAATAGTTGCGAATTTGCGTCAAAGCGAAGGCCCTGTGGACTCCCGCAGGGAATGTGGAAACCGGCCGGCCGTACCTGGCCCGGAATCCAGACCCAGCGCACCTGGGCAAATGGGGGGAGGGGACGGGTCCTGCTTCCTGCAAGTCCCATTGCTCGGAGGGTTGCTTAGGTTTTGCATTTTGTCTTCATAGGTGTCTGGTCCGAATACAGCCCTGACCTGCCTTCTCTTGGGTGGGAATGGAGACAGGCTGCCCCCTGGTGGCAGCAGTGCGGCTCTGCAGCCGGGGCTCCCTGTGGGAGGAGTCAGAGGAAGGCTGGAGGTAGGGGGGCCGGACCACAGTCCTGGTGCCTGGTCAGCTGTCCACGTGCACCCCCAAAGCCCCCGCTGCAGTTGACTGGTTCAAATGCACCATGGTAACAAAGTTGATGGAAGAATTCCTCCATCAACCAACTGCATCTAGCTGGAGATTTGTGGGCAGGGCGGAAGTGTTATTTTGAGCTCACTTTGCCACACAGGCATAGCTAAGTTGATCAAGCTTTTAGGCACCACCAATTTTTTTCTATAGAATTTGCTGTTCTGGGCAGGAGTGCCATTTCAGATTTTGGTTGGGGGTGACCTGTGCATCCAAGGATGGGAGGCAGAGAGGCAGAGCATGGGGGGGAGAGGAGGAGGGTGAGGCAGACTGAGAAAAGTACAGCAGCTTCAGCAATGTTGTTACTGAGCATGCTCAGTACAAGCCAAGTAGCAAATTGGGGTGGGGGGGGGGGATCAATTTCATTTGTTGTTCCCACATCTCACCTCTTTTCAGGGCTACTAAGGCCGGGGGAAACTAGTTTTGTTTTGGCAGATAACGGAGCACTCGGCTGGCAGGAGCACTGTATCTAGCTCCTATAGAACAGCAAGACCATGGAAATCAATTAGACCCGCTCAGCGCTAGGAGTAACATTGTGACCTCTTGCGGCAAGTCATATCAGGGACACGGGTTCGCCTCACGCGTGTGTTAGTCGTCCTTGGTTCCCAACCTCATAGACAGAGGCTCGCGCTCAGCTCTGGAAGGGGAGTGGAGTCTAGTGGCTACAGCAGGGAGACAGCTACATTTGGGCTCTATATAAGATCAGAATGTCCACACTGGGTCAGGCCAATGGTCCACCTGGCCCAGTGTCCTGTCGGCCGAGCGCGGCCAATGCCAAGTGCTTCAGGGGGCATGAACGGAACAGGGAATCAAGTGATCCCTCCCCTGTCGCCCTTTGCCAGCTTCTGGCAAACCGAGGGAGGGACCGCATCCCTGCCTATCCTGGCTAGTAGCCATCGATGGACCGAACCTCCTTGAACTTCCTTTGTTCTTCTTGGAGCCCCGTTACAGTTTGGGCCTTCCCACCATCCCTTGGCAGAGAGTTCCGCAGGTTGACTGTGAAGAAATCATTTGTTTTAAATCTGCTGCCTAGAAATGTCATTGGCTCGGCCTCTTGTGTTGTAAGCGAAGGAGTAAAGAACAGCTCCTTATTGTATTTTCCCACCCTGGTCATGATTTTCTAGATCTCTCGCACCTCCCCCCCACACTTGAGCCATTTCTTTTCCAAGCTGAAAAGTCCCAGGCTTGTTCATGCCTCCATGTGAGGAGAGGTTTCTTACCCTGATCATTTCTGTCGCCCTTTCTGCACTTTTTCCAAATGCAATAAAACTTTCTTGTAGATGAGGCGTCCAGATCTGCATGCAGCGTTCAAGCTGTGGACGCACCACGACTTTCTAGAGGCACCGTGGTATTGCCGGTCTTATCACCTATTCCTTTCCTAATCATTCCCAGGATTTAGACCGTCACTGCACATTGAGCCGAGGTT